AAACAACGCTAAGACATTAAACAGAAGTATTGCCGCGAAACAACGCTAAGACATTAAACAGAAGTATTGCCGCGAAACAACGCTAAGACATTAAACAGACGAATGGCCCTTAACAAAAGATAAAACTATGATCAATCTGGACAGTGTCACCATTGTCAATGACACCAACATTGTAATAAGGACAGTTCAGATTGACTATCTCTCTAGTTAGGAAGAACATCTTGATATTTGAACTAATTACAATGATACCATGCATCGGATAACACGCGTTCTTAACGTTATTGTGCAGTGCGAGTTGTTTTAGACACGATTCCATAAAAAAGAAAAAGAACGTAGCTTACAATTTCTATCGGCTAACACAAATACTCCGAGATTATGTTGTCGTTATTAAGCACAAAGCTATACAAAGGGCTATCTGTGCTCAACCCATCACGGGTATCGAAATCCGGTTTCTAGCGGTATAAGTCCGCAGACATCCCGCTGTGCCACTGGAGAGGGGGAAGAGACTCAGAGATTATGTTTGTATAATAAAGATGTATATTATGTGCTCGTAATAGTTGTTGTACTTATTATGTTACTTGGATGGTGATCTGATTACGGTGTCTAAAATTAATATTGCTTTAAGCGTGACTGTTGATGGTATTGGAATATTTCACTAGTCTGGAAATACAACCCATTTTTAATCTGCTTATTTTATCTTTATTTGTTAGTTCATCTTTATTAATTTACAGAGCTTAGTATTCAGGGACGTAACTACAAACGATACCCCCCCCCCTCGCAAAAACAAACAACCAGTTATTCCCTTTCTCGCCAATAATTAAATGGTTGAATCTTTCATTTGGTTGTTTGATGGTTGAATCTTTCATTTGGTTGTTTATTGGAGTAGTTTGTTTTGTTGTTGTTGTTATTTTTTTATACGAGTTTTTTTTTTCTATCTTGTGTTTATCTGGTAACTTGTTTCTTGAAGCTGGTTCTTTGATTGAGTTTTGGAGTTCTTTCCCTGGGATGACATTTGTTATTTGGAGTTGTTTACTTGATACTGGCTAGTTATTTGTTGTTGGTTTTTGCGTCCGTCTGTTATTAACCGAGCTTTTTTTTTTAATTATTACAAGTTTTGTGTTAAACTCTTTATTGTTGTTATTATTCATTGTGTCTCGAAACTGTTTATCCGGAAACACTTGTGTATTAAGTTTATGCATCTGATAAGCAGAGCATCTTAAAACTGACAGGGTAAAAAGAAAAAAAAATGCACAAAATGTTTACTGATGCGAAGTGTCCATAGTTGTATTTTTCAAGAAGCAGTCGTGCGAATGCCCACGTTGGGGCAAGCCTGTTTAAATACCACCACCGCTACACTGACACGTTTCTTGGGTTTAAACAGCGCACGCGTTCGATAAGCTCCGCCTCGCATGCTGTAGGGAATAGCGAATGGATAAATTATCGAGAGGAGGGGCTCCTCAGCTCGCGCCTCAGGGTGGGAAGGTGTTTTGTCTGATTGCTTCGCATGGCTGGTTGCCTGGTGCACATAGCTTGTAGGCCGGACGGGAACTCGACGTGTCTATATGAGACTTTGAACGTAGCGTGCGCGTGCATTGAAGGACAAAGGTTGAACTAGATACTGGTGTGGACAACAGCAGTGACCTCGGGTGTTCTAAAAGCACTTGTCAAGATTTAGTGGCTCTTCACACTACTAAGAGAGCTATCGAGAGTTGCGTAGTAAGTCTTAGGCCTACACAACTGGACTGAATTCCCGTTTTTTCTACGTAGAAGAAAAAGGACACGGGATGCCCGTGATAAGCCCGGGGAAATACGAGCCACCGGCCCCGTCCCTGTGTGCGGGCTGCGGCGGGAAGATCGCGGACCGTTACTACCTCTTGGCCGTAGACCGACAGTGGCACGTCCACTGCCTCAAGTGTTGTGAATGTAAACTTACCCTGGACTCCGAACTAACGTGTTTCTCCCGGGATGGAAACATCTATTGTAAAGACGACTATTACAGGTAAACTTTTAAATAGAACAATTAATTTATTTAGATGTAATAAACAAGAGTAACTGTATATTACGTCTGGTGTAATACACCGGTATAATAAACAGTCATTCACAGACAGAGGTCAGGAATGTATAAGATCGCACTCTTTAAAAGCTTCGATTGAGTATCATGTTCGGAAAACTTGCTTTTAAGCAAATCATTTAGCCATACATGTTTATTTTTGCGCACAAAAATAACTTTGATTTTTATAACGCCCATACTAAAATGATGACGTTTCAGAAATCTCTCTGTTTTTTAGGTCCAATGATACACCGAAAAACGTTGAAAACATAACTGGCTAATCACGTGAACAATGTTACTGGTGGAATATGTAACAATGAAATAAAACTAGCTTCTTACAGACACCGTACATATATATATGTAAACAGTAGTCTCTTTATTTCACTCCCTCTATAGTTTTATCTATTAAATAGTATAATTTGTCAAGAAGTAAAAGGCCTACGTTTATTATAGAATAAATTATTTTAGGTTTATGTCGTGTTGATATTATTTAGCATCGATTAACATATGTTGATATCCATGCTCATAAGAGAGAGCAACGAGAAAAGTTTTCGGTATCTTAGTTCAGTGTGTTCACTCCATAGGTGAGTGACGTAATTAGTGTCTCTTGTACAAACGATCATTACAAGATGAAATGCCAATAATGTTCAATTTCTGTAGTGCATATTGGTGTATAAAAGGCATTTTAATACTCAAAATAGACGACCTTGTAACACCAACTTTGTTTTTTTTAATTAGACACTCAGGTTTTGTAGTGTTGTTTACGGTTTGCGTTTTAGAAGAACTCTCCTGAAAAACGAAACGTTGAGTATCCAATTAAAGTAAAATAACAAATTTGGCACTGTTTGTTTGTGCGAGTTTTGTTATAGCAAAGCCACATCGGCCTATCTGCTGTGTCCACCGAGAGGAATTGAACCTTTGGCGTTGTAAGTCGGAAGAGACTGAGCCGCCGTCCCACCGGGGGGACAATTTGGTGTTATAAGGACGTTTATTACTAGTATTAAAGTTAATAATAAAATGTTTATCCTGTTATATACACATACACGTGTATCCGTATTGTGTTTACAACGCTCAGAAGTTATGTTTACGAAGTCTAGGCCCGTTATTGCTCTTCTAAACCAAACATCGAATTGCGAAGGAACGCCAGTGACAACCGGTATCATACGAATGTTTATATTACATTGTGGCGGGCTGATAACGTTCCCCAGGTGTAACAACTTCCTGCTAACTCTTATCGCGTCATTTTGGATAATACCTTCCCTTGAAACGGTTTTAAATACAACGATTGGGACGTGTTTTCTAGGAACTTCTCGTGTCGTTTCCAGCTCATTCCATCCACAGAGTTATCTGAATATTTCAAAGAACCAAATATACCTGGCACACTCTCGCGCCGCCAGAAAATAACGAATTAATAAATTATATTATTTTAAGAATCTATTTGTTTTGTTTTGATAGAGAGGGGGATCGCTCCCCCTTATTACTATGGCTTAAGTCGAATGATGAATTTTCACGTACGCAGCATCATTGTTTCCACAGTTCAGTGTACAGAAAGTAACCTGTAGTGACAGAAGTGTAAAGGGGGAATGATTGGTTGTTTGTTTGGTGTTTTATGGTTGTTTGGCACAACTAGGCTATCTGCGCCAAACAACCGGTAAAAACAGTAAAAGTAAACTGTAGTAAAATGTAAAAATAAGGTGAGTTAAAACCAAAGTATGTCCAAAATGACAGATAAAACAATAAAATAGACCAATTGTTCAAGTTGGACAGTGTCACCATCGCCTTATGACACCGTCCAATGTCAGGGGTAAACCCTTACAAAACACGTGTCTAAAATGGTGCCGCCGCTCGCGAATAGGCAACGTGAAAACGAGTTTTTAATTAACTTTCTTGTTGTTCTTCTTCTTGAAGTTAAAGCAGCTAACTTAAATTTTTCACTTTGAGTCTGTTCTGATAAGTAACGCCGAATGGCATAATTCTGTTTGAAAAACATTTGCAGAAGGAAGATAGCACAACAATAGGTTTCCGTCTACTCTAAAAATGGTCGCCTGTTGGATGAGCAGAGCTTTTTGAAATAACTAAAATGGTTTTAAGATTGTGTTCAGACTGGAATACGATCAAAGTTACCCCACCTTGCTTATACACCATATTCAATGGCTGTTGACCTATGACCTTCATTTCTCCAAAGAGTAAGAACGAAAATAACCAACGAAATTTGTAAGCTCGTGTTAAACTATTCGACCCGAATGGTTTACCGGTTGATTTTTGTATGTTTATAACTGTAGGTATTTTAAGCTTTTTCCGTGATTTTTGGCCATCCATATTTGACGATCTTAATCACACGAACTATTGCTAGAAACCCATGACATCTGTAGCTTTTTTTTTTTTTTTTCGAAGACTATAATTCCAAAATCCCGTATGTAAACTGATTTACCGGATATCTCGGTGTTTATAAAGTACTACCACAAGATAAGTCACATTTTAGCGCGTGTCCTACTACGTATGGCCTGATGGGTAGAGCGCTCGACTAGCACTCTGCGGGTCGCGGGTTCGAATCCTCATCGCCGAACATGCTCACCCTTCAGGCCGAGGGGCGTTATGAATAATGTTACGGTCAATTCCACTATTCGTCAGTTTAAAAAAAGGATTTGGCGGTGGGTGATGTTACATAGCTGCCTTCCCTCTAGTCTTTCACTTAAATTAGGAACGGCTACCTGGAGAACAAATGGGCGATACCAGGTAAATCAGCCCGAGATTCACCGAGGATGCCCCGTCATCTAAGGTGCCCCAAACAAAGCGAAACGTCGACAGGGAACCTCGTTTTAAAGTGTAAAATCATGCGTACGTAATATATTTGTCAATATTAACGGAATTTTTAAGTCAATAAACATTCATTTTGAAAGTAACAACGTTTAGTAAATTCTAATGTACATGAATTGGCCTGGCCTGGCCAGGTGGTTAGGGCGCTCGACTCGTAATCCGAGGGTCGCGGGTTCGAATCCCCGTCACACCAAACATGCTCACCTCCGCCATTGCCTGGTCCCAAGTCCAGGATGAGGAAGGAGGAGGGTTGGGCGTGGGGCTAGCAACTCCACCCCGTAAAAACCAACCTGCTACAAGTAACTGCAACAACAACTTTCCGTTGGTGAGGTGTTGTTACGGCCCTATGCTCCACTGGGAGTGTACAGGAATAATAAAAAAAAAAATGTACATGAAAGTTTTCCATAAGATAAAAATTACGAAACTTTCAGATGCGTGTGATTTTTTTTTTTTAAATCACAAATGGTTATCTATCGGTTATCATTGCTTTGCCAACTTTTAACGGTTAAAACGAAGGTATTTTTATAGTTTGATGAAGAAATTATTGTCATAGATTTCAAAAAGTCCGTAAATTATTTAGCATATATAATTAATTATATTCACAACTTTACAGTAATCATGCGTTCAATTATGTCTTTATTTTGCAGAAATTCGCGCAAATCTATTAAATATTGAACTAATAGATCAAGGGGAATGCAGCTAGTCAACAGCACCCACCGCCAACTCTTGGCAGTGCTCTTGCCTTACCGAGTAATGGGGTTTGGGCGTCACCCTTATGACGCACCCACGACTCCAAAGTGTGGAGAGCTTTAATTTTTATTATTCTGTTTACTGTAACGGGACCCGAATGAAGTATTCACGGACGGATACAGTCCATGGTGCTAACTCGTAATAATATAATAAATACCTAATGGTTTAATCATTTTTTTGTAGTGTGTTTAGAAAGAGTGACTTTACATGGAAACATCTCAATCTCAAAGAAAAGCCTAATATAGTCTCGAACTAAGACTATCGTGGGTGTAAGTCCTCAATGACACCCCCCCCCCCATTACTCAATTCGGACCCGGCATGGCCAGGTGGTTAGGGCGCTCGAAGAATGGGAGATAAAAGATACAGTTGCATGTCCGCTGCGACGTACCACAGTGGGGGGTATACACTGAAATAAACGGATAAAATCACGCTACAGCGTTTCATTAAACTAAGGCCCCGGCATGGCCAGGAGGTTAGGACGCTCGACTCGCAATCTGTGGGTCGCGGTTTGAATCTCCGTCCCACCACACATGCTCGCCCTTTCAGCTGTGGGGGCGTTATAAGGTGACGGTCAATCCCACTATTCGTTGGTAAAAAGAGTAGCCCAAGAGTTGGCGGTCGGTGGTGATGACTAGCTGCCTTCACTCTAGTCTTACACTGCTAAATTAGGGACGGCTAGCGCAGATAGCCCTAGTGTAGCTTTGCGCGAAATTCAAAACAAACAAACAATTACTCAATTCACAGTAAATCTAATCAAAAACACCTTAGGTGTGAAAAAAAGGTGCGGCCAAAAAAAAGGATTCAGTGTGAAACTTAAAGGAATGAAATCAAAATTGGCAGCCAAACTGGTAGCTATACTTATAGCATTGATAAGAAATTTTCCAGCAAATATTCATTCATTAGTTAGCCAGGCCGCGTGTTTTTGTTCAACTTGACGGTCAACATCTATAAACTATTCTAGTGAGGGTTGTCTGCTGAATATATATGATAATATATTCTTATTGTTATTATTTACAATTATTCGCCAAATCTCTTGTTGTTGAAATAAGATAAAGCAAACATTTTGGCAGTAGTGTTTATTATTTTTTTCCGGCATTTTTCACAAAGCACATACCACATATAATCAAAGCAATCCCCGATTTGTCAGATAAACTCTCGTCTACAGAGACATTAATTTTTATCATCAAACGCTATATATATATATATATACACACGTATACGATTGTTATTTTCTGGTTACCGATAAAATTGTGTTTTATTTGTAGGTTACAAAAAAATGTCACTGTACTTTTCTGATGACACTGTGCAGGTGCGTGTAATCTCATCAGAGCGTTCAGGAAACGGACTTTCCACGTGCTCTATTGTTCAAACAACAACAAATC